CTTGTTACTTACTCTCTATATGACTCCCACAGTCGAAGTCTCTCTCTCTCTCTCTCTCTCTCTAATTGTTTTTCAATAAAATAATAAAAATATAATAAAAGCTTAATATAATATCGCTGATTAAACACATCTAAAAAATTTAGATATATAAATTCAACAATTAATTAAAATTAATCATACAGGCACTTTTACATTCATTATAATAAGTTTAATTCATTAATACAAAAAAAATTAACTTATGCTTGCCTCTATGAAGTTAATAATATTTATTATATTAATAGCCGGATCACTATGCGATGAAAAATGTCGCAATCAAACGTTAAGCGACAAAATGTCCATGGTTGAATTCACGGTTCAGGCACTGGTCACTGGACGCGAGACATTAAACGGCACTTTTGGGGAACTCCGTCAACGACAAGAATATCTCCGCTATACTGTCGACATACAGGTGTTCTACAAGTGCACCAGTAGCGAAGTGAAAAAGGCCTTGGATAAGGGCTATATTTATAACCATGGCGGGTGGGGTTTGGAAATGGATGTTGGTACATCGTATATAATTAGCGGGTATAATGCGTACGGTTGGATATGGGCGCATAAATGCTACTTTTTCAAGCAAGTTAATCAATTAAATAGCGAGGAGATTGCACTGTTAAAGTCATTGAATTCAAATGCAACTGGATCATCTATTTCTAATAAGACAATTGCCTGAAATTATTGATTATTTTTATTATACAGTGGCTTTTATATGTTGATTAAAATAAATTTAATATAATGATTTAGTGTTTAATTTTTTTATTTAATGCATAATGTTACAAAACAAAATATTACGGTATATTTAAAAAAAATTAAATTTTTAATTTATCAAATGATATTTTTAAGATTTAGAATAATTTATTGATTAACAAAATTAAACATTTGCCACCTTGATACCCCTTTTTGATCAAAAATTGAAGCTATTAAATGTTATTAAAATAACAAAAATATAATAAACATTTTTATATGATATTGAGTTTTATTTAATTATCATAAGCATGGGAAACCTTTATCATAATAAAATATTTTATATTATTTAACATTATTAATTTCTCGGTAATCCACGAACAATATGTCAAATATATTTCAAAGTCACTGTCAAGGTATTTATAACGTATAATTTAAAATCAATCAAATATCTACACACATATTGTTTAGCCATCCACAAGTTAAGTAACTTTATATAATAGGGTAAAAAACTTAATTTTATGTTATTAAAAATGTACTTACATTAAATTCTAAGGCTAATGCAATTAATAGCTAGTTCATTATGTTATTCGTGCACTTACTCTACCTTATCCCAACAGTATACAGCTTTTGATTCTACAGCTTGTGCTCATCACAGATAGGGACACCATCAGCACCGGTACCTACGGCATCGACGTTCAAAAACAGATTAATTACATTTTTATATTGAGTAAAACATTATTTTAAAACTATGCATTTTTATGATTTAATTTTTTTTATATAAACTCCGTACTTAATGCAAGCATTACATTTAGTGTATGTAGCTTAACAATTAATTTTATTTATCTAAAAGTGCTTAATAAAAATTTTGTAAACATATTTCAAAATCTATGATAAAACAAAATATGCATTTCTATAATTCATGATCGTGTAATTAAAAGCAAACGTGATCACTTCATAATAATCAATTACTGTGACAAAGGTGTCTGTACTTACATTTTAAGCGGTAACCCACAACCACTTATTGAAATTATAGTTTACTATGCTTTATTTATATCAAATACGTAAAAACTTAGATATTTCGCATTTCACTTACAGTATAAGATTAAAATATACAAGAATTATATTTTATATAAAATATTATTTTTGTAGTGCTATCATAAGACCATATAAATAAGATTAAACTTAAATGTCAAGATCAATTTAATACCTACTTCTAGATTAGCAAACTAGAGTCCAACAATTAAACAGTATATAAAGGGTAAAAACTTTAATTAAAAAACACAATTAAGGACTCGTTTTGTTAAACACATATAAAATGCTAATTATATTCGTTTACGCGTTGATTACTGTTTGTGTGAATGGCTTAACACTCACGCAAAGCGACGTCGAGAGCCAATGGATTGCATTTAAGGTATAAATGAAAATACAAATTATAATACAAACTGTTTTACAATTTGTAATACACATTATATTTTTCAGAAACAATTTCGCGACACAGACTACCAGTCCATAGGCTTGGGCGACGAGTCCATCCGTCGGCAGATATTTGAGATTAACTACAGAGATATCGTTAATCATAATACAGAGGCTGACCAGGGTTTACATAGCTTTAAGCTCGGGGTCAATCAGTTCACCGACTGGACTACTGAGGAGTATCAGGGTTGGCTAAATAAATTTGATCATGGTGCGTCTGCAACTAAATCAAACGTGAGACCAGTTAGCTCAAATAACTCCCTGGTCAAACTACCTGATAGCGTGGACTGGAGACAAAAAGGAGCTGTCACACCTATCAAGGACCAAGGAAGTGTATGTGTATTAATAATAAATATGTTAAATTATTATTAATTTTAATTAAATTATAATATATATATATATATATATTTATTTAGTGTGGCAGTTGCTGGGCATTTGCGGCAGTGGGTGGAATTGAAGGTAATTTTAATTAATATTTTTAATTTTAATTTAGCATAATTTTTAAATTTTAAAACATACAATTAATTAAATCATGCAAATAGACGTTTAATAGCTCTAGTTTTCAAATAAAAATATGCTAACAAACCGGTAAAATTATTTACAATTGTAAAATCAATGTGCTTAATTTTAACTATAATTGTAATGTATTATATTTTAGTAATTTTGTTGTAATAATTTATGTTACAATATATTTATTTTACTAATAATTTTGACAAACAACAATTTAATTTTATAAATTTTCTATTTTTCCAACACACAACAGGCCAAATTGCAATTAAGCAAGGCAAACTACTATCATTATCCGAGCAAGAGCTACTTGACTGCACGTATTCGGGCACCGGCTGTAATGGTGGCAGCCCTACCGAGGCGTACAACACACTGGCCCAACGGCTACACGGTATCCAAAACGAGCAAACCT